GTGGTGAACACCTACACCTACACTCTCTTCCTCTATATATTTCACCTAACTCCCACACCTTTCAGTTGCCGCCTCGCCTGGCCAATTCGCGCCACCCCCGTCTCGAAAACAGCCCCAGAGTGCCACAACCCCTTACTAGTATAACTCTTGCTATGATTTCATTTTCGTCGTCGTCGTAAATGTTTTTATTTTGGTTTGTTGTTGTTGTTGTTGTTGGATTTTCTTAAACGTATTTTATGCTGCTATTTTTGGATGTTGGCCAACTAAAATCAGCGCCCCCGTCACAGCCGCCAGAGGCACCTTTTGGCCGATTCTTTTCATTTTCATTTGTTGCGTTATTAAATTAAAATTCTGCCCTGCCTTTCTGCTCGGCCTTTGGGAAGGAAGGGGTGGAGGAGGTGGAGGTGGAGGTGGGTGGCTCAGGTTGGTCGCCGCCTCTCTGGCCTCTGATCAACATTTATTCTACCTAGTTTATTTTTAGATTCGTTAAGTAACGCCAAAAAAACAACAACGGAAACAAAAACAAAACACAAACTGATCTCTCCGCTCCGCAAGTTTGTTTCATTTCACGATGGAAATCACAAGCACACGGAGAAAAACAAACGGGTATATGTAGGGGTATATATATATATATGTATGTATATGGAATGGTATGGTCCTATAATATATGTATATTCAATACAGCATAATGCCCAACACATGCCACACAGATGCACAACTCGGGGATGATGTCAGGTGCAAGCTATCGATATATGATCGTAGAAGGAGGTAGTAAGGTGCAAGCTCATAACTAACGATGCTTTTTGTTCTACAGCATACACTGAAACAACCAGAGGTTTGTTCTTTAAAGTAATATTTTTCAAAAACCTCTGTTTTTCATGATATAAGTTTAAGAAAACATTTAAGATTACCTTTCGGGGCGCCAACTTGCTTACTAGTTATAGCTAGTCGGAGGAGAGATTCACTTGAAACGAAAGTTCAACCCTCTATCTGGATATATCCCCGAACCCCCGAAAACAGACTTGCTTATAAGGGATATATGGGTCTTACCTGCTGGGCCACAGGATCCAATATGCTCTCGATGGTTTTTGTGTGGAAGACTGGCATTTTCGCTGCTCTGTTGGTTACCTTTTCAGTTCACTTCAGTTTCACTTATCTCCCGGGGGGGTTATCGCACTTCCTTTCGTCTTCCTCTCACGTCTCTGGGCCAGTTCTCCAATTCTCTGTAAAGAAACGAATTTAAAATCATCTTTAAAATTAAGTAAACAAATCTCTGGAATTATCTTGCCGCCAAGAAATTCCAACTAGGTGATGAGATAAGATGAGAAAGGTTCTCCACATTCCAATTTAAAATCTTAAAAATGTTAACCAATATAACATAAATATTCCATACACTCTGGAAACATTATAATGAAAGTTATGAGCCACAAATCGTGAATAATTGGCTTCCCCGGCCATAAAAATTCCAATCAATTGATATCAAACCGCATCATGTACATTAATTTAAGATCCGAAAGCCTTGTGCTCTTTCTATACGATTTGTTGGAACAACTCTGACAATTGTTAGGAGTACACTACTACTAAATTACAGAACTTTATCGGGTGTATAAACAATCTGTGACCCAGATTTCGAGGAAAGATAGACACAACCAGAAACAGAACCAGAACTAGAACCCTTTCCAACCAGCACCTTCCTCTATATATTTTTTTTTTTGTGAGTTCTTAGGGGGTCTGAGACGTACAATATATGTATATTATATTCATAAGCATTTTGGGTTGTTCTTTTTTGTTTGTTGATTCAGTTTTCAGACAGTCGTTGCTTTCGTTTTAATAACGATGACGCATCTCGTGAGGTCACTTGCCCAGACATTCGGGGGATGTCGATATTGGATTGGCCCTGGTATATTGCCATGATTAGGGGTATGGGCTATACCAAATCGATGACGCACTGGTCGCTGCCGGACCCACAGGGTGCGGACCTTAAATAGTTGGCCATGATTTACGGAAATACTGGCCAACAACAAAAACAACAAAAAAACTGAAATAAAAAGGTGGAAAATGCGAAAATCCGCGCCAAAAGACATTGAAAATACGACTTCCTCTAAACGCGGATGGGTGGGTAGGTGTTCGGTGTGAATTTGTTGCGTAGGAGGGTTTTCAGTTTTTTTGGATATGGAAAATGGAATGGTTGTGATGGGGACTTTTTTGACACCCCTCCAGACACCACCCAAAAGTATTTCTGGATTTTTAAGAACCTTCTTAGAACGGCTGCAATGCACTAACACACACTCACGGATCGGAATCGTGTCTAAATATATATATTCTAGAAATACTTGTGATGTACTACGTCTGCCACTTATGGAATTTTGCTTTCGATTGATTTTCGCTCAACTCAAAAATTCATAATAGCCGAGCCAAAAACAATTTTGTTGCCATTTTGATATTGTGTGTGTTTTTCTATGGCCAGATGTGGGCTGAAGTTTATTGACTTGCTGCTGCTGCTTCTGGCCATTTATGGCCAACAAATTGCACGCCCCATAAGAACAGGTTGGGATCGGTTGGGAAGCTCTACAAGTTCTCGGCTATTTCCACACTGGATCCTATCAGATCTCCTATACCGTTCGGGTATGGAGATCTTCCCTCCCAATTGGGTGGAAGCCATCGACGCAGAGTGTGACATGCGTGCCTGCGCCTCTGGCTGCTGTTGCACACCCTCCATACACCATACACCACATACACACTGATAAACACACGGAATTAAATAATAAAAATATGCATATTTGGGACAGATTTCAGTTTTTGAAAAATCTTGAACGTGATGTATGCCTCATTGATGGCGTTATTGTTGCATTTCATATTTCAGGTATGGTAGATACTGTTGGTATATTTCACTGATATTTTGGGGCTTTGTCACCGCTCACTCACACACACACACACACGCACACGGTCGCCAAGTCGAGAGACAGCAACAATTGGTTCACACAGTCGCACAACAAAAAAAAATACAACAGAATAGAAAGAAAATAAATTAGTAAGAGAATATAACTGAGCACGGTGGGGGCGAATGTTGTTAAATATTGTACTGCTATGGCTACTGCTACTGCTGTGTCTTCTTTTCTCATCAACAAATAATTCACGGAATCGAAATGGTTAATATACATATATATATGTTCGCCGTTATTTACTTTGTCTGGCTCTTTTTAGCTGCGCCCCAACTTGTTTCCCCAACTTATTTCCGCGACTGTTCTTTCAATACTAAAAAAAGAATCTGATTGGGGAGCGCAGCGCTCACACGTTAGAGTGAACCTTGTTCAAAGGGAACACGTTGGCGACCCTAGAATATAAGTGTCACATAGATTCAAATGTTTTTAATTTCTCTTTTAAACAGATGGTATCTTGGAGAGACATTTTTTATTTTGTTTAACCTTTTGTTAATTTATTTCAAAAAGGGCCACTCCAAAGCTTACGCTTATAAACGCGCACACTCATCCAGCCTGCGCACAGTGGACTTTTATGGTTTTCAAAGCAGCTAAATAAAAGTCTAATTCTTTTCTTGGATTTTGTCTTTTAACTGAATTACATACTTAAGAATTGCAAAGAAACAAAGTTTAAGCTTCCTTTAAAAGTCACCCAGGATTGTTCTTGAACATGTTCTAAAAACATTTTATGTTTTATTTCGTAAGCTTTTAGCCTACAACTCCCACTGTGCTAGGGGGACGCTCTTATCTCTTTTCGCTTTCACACGCTGTTCTTTGGGGCCAGAGCTTCTTCTTCTTCTAACCGCTCGCCGACAATCGAATTCGATTGGGAATCGATAGTCCCTACGACTATCGGCTAAATTTCAATTTCAAAATGCAACCAACTATAATTTCCCGCTAACGAGAGAGCCCCATTCTTGCAACAATTGGAGAAGAAGAAATTCGCGCAATTAAATAACACCCGCAAATCGCAAATTGCAAATCTTGCAAATCGCCAGTACGATTGCATAATACAAATATGAACCATATGCATGCGATCTATTTGTAACGTATTTCTAGCGTTACGTGCTACGTACATACCTTTTCAGAAAAGTGGCGACGACGAGGGGGCTCTACTATTGGGGGCTGGACGACCATGCAACATATCTATGTGGTATTAAACACATACTGCACTCTGCGCTGCTATTTCCGTTGACTGACTTTGGGTCTCCGCTGGTTGAAAGCCTGGGTTTTGAAGTTTCGGGTGCAGGCCTCCGTGCCTTCCGTCTGCGTGAGCTACTGAAAAAGTGGAAAAGAAAAAAATTTATTATTAACAAAAAAACTGAAACAAAATAGGCGGCTCAGAAAAAGAAGTTCACACACAGATAGCGCAACAAAACGGAAAAACAGTGGGAAACCCTATTCAATGGAAGTGAAGCTCCCATGCCCTGTAAATTGGCCAAAGAAATAGGGATCAGATTAATTATTTAGGCCTTACACCTTCAAAACATATTGTTAATTATAATACTTATACATTTTTTTTATATAGACAAGTGAAAAGTTCTTAGAAAAGAACTAGTAGAACTAGTATTGGAAAGGTATCCTTAGCTTAAAGTCCTTTAAATCGGCAAAGCTTGATGTGAATTTTACTTAGCTATCTATTCAATGGTTAAGGGTATTATACACTGTCGGTTTGTATCCTTTTATCCATCGTCAGTGGCCAAAATCCACCCACAATCCATGACACGATGATAGCTGCCACCTAAATTGCTGGTTTTCCACTAAGCAGCCACTTAGCTTTACTTTTCTTTAGTTATTTATATTTTCGTTTCTTTATTATTATTACCTTTTGTTTTGTTTTGGACTTTTTGTCCGGGGCGCGTGCGCATGCGCAGGGGCAGGTCTATTGGGTATGGGGCTGCGGCACGGAAGCGCCACCAACTGGCGCCGGGTGTAGGTAATTCCACCGCATTCCCAGGGGCTGGTATAAATTAAATGGTTGCAGTGGGGCAGCAATCAAACCACTCGACGCCTTCCCAGCGGTTGCATCGTCGGATCTAGCAACTCCACACGAAAAGTCCTAAAACCAAGCAGCATGGATAACCGCAGTTTGGTGAGTGGATAATATTTAATACAAGGATTACCAGAGGATTACCACGATTATTTATTTTCTCAGCTCCTGAGGCTCTCCCTGGTGGTGGCTTTAGTTATACTGCTGGTCTGTGTTCCTGAAACAGATGCAGGGTAAGAAATCATTACTAAGACACTGTCTAAACCATATATTAATGGCTTACCTATCTTTATAGTGGTCACCAGAAGAAGAAAAAGATCGTTATCCATGTGCCAATACACAAGAAGATTGAGAAACATATCCACACGGTGGTGAAGCATGTTCACCATCATCACAAGCCCCTGGTCCTCAAGGAGGAGAAGAAGGTCATCCACGAAGATCATCGCCCCATCCAAATCCACCAGACAAAGGAGCATATCCATCATCACGAGAAGCACGACCACCATGACCACCACGAGCACCATCATCCTCTGGCGGCGCCTGCAGTGGCACCACCGCCTCCATTGCCCGAGTACGAGGAGGAGGAGGAGGAGCACATCCATCACCATCACAACTACGAGCACCGGGGTGGACTCCGAGACGACTTCATCGGCGGAGACGGGAGCAGTAGCGAGGAGCGCTGACTATGCAACGGTGGCAGCGACAATGGGAGGCGCAGACTGATCTGATCGGAGAGCTGTGGGCAGGGCATCTCTTTGTGATTCGTTAGATACGTACCAATTTTTTTTTACATACATTTATATTTTTTTTATAGCCTAAATGTTTAGTTTAAGAATGGCAACGGCGAAGATTATAAATTAGTTTTAAAGTGTAATTGAATTGTAGGAAATGAATTTGAAATATATTGAAATATATTATTTCCTCAAGAAAATGTGGTTTATTAACTTATTTAATTAATTGATGTACATTAAACATGAACTAGTTTAAATAAAAAAACACTTTTTTTTTGTTTTACGTTTATTAATACTTAATAGTATTAATACGTTTAATACGTTTTAATTAATACGGGATTTATTAATACGTTTAATAGTGGATTTTTTTAAATATATTTTGGACTTTATCTTTTGAAAAATAACATAATATATGTAAAATGTTAAATTTGTTAAATTTTGTGTATTCAATTTATCAAAAGAAAGCTGCCTATTACCTTTTTGCAAAATGTATCAGTTTAGAATGCACATTACTGTATTTTTTATTTAAAATTAAAAAGAGTGTAAAGTATTCATATTTTTTAAATAGTTACCAGATCTTATTTTTCAAAAATTAAAAACTCGCGCCCAAAACCGTCTGCACAGAAACAGTGTTAATAATTTTGGACCAATTTCTCTTCCAGTGCTGCAAAATGCAACAGTTCCTATGGGGAAGTGTTGGGAAATACAGTGCGAAAAAAACGTAAAACAAAAGAAAATTTAGGAAAATTTACGGCAGGATTTTCCGTTTGCAGCGACCAGGAGACGAAACGTCGGTCCTCCCTGCAGCTGTCCAAAGCGAGTCACAACGGAGAAGCGCCAGTTGGAGGAGTAACACGGCAACGAATCCGCTGGATAGTCCGACACAGCTTTCCCCTTTTGGAAAAAGCAAGCACCGATTCTCCCCGATTTTGTTGCTGCTCTCACACGCCCCCACTACCCCGCCCACGACCCCCCCTGACCGGGAACGGTGGTCAGGCTTAATCAGCAAAAAATACCAAGAACCGAAAAAAATAATAGAACGGAGCGGTACAAGGGGGCAAACGGGAAGAGGAGGGGCTGAGCCTGTGAGTAAGCGGAAACGGAAGCCTCTGCGGGAGCGGCGGCTTCGGCGGAAGCGGCAAAGAGATGCAGTATAGGCCACCATGGGTTCGCAGACCTTGGAGATACTGCGCCAGGGCGTGTGGGCCTCGCTGACCGGCGGCTACTTCTACGATCCGCACCAGGGCGTCTTCTGCAACGTGGTGCACTTGTACCTCTGGCTCTACCTGCTCTGCTCGCCCTTTGTGGCCTACCTGGTAGTGTTCCACATCCTGAATCTCCATCAACTGAAGCTAATCGGCATTCTGTTCTTTTTTTCCAGTACTTTCCCAGCACATGGCTAACATGGTGTCTGTACTGCGTGCTAACCAGCCTTACCATCCTCATGGTAAAGCTGGCCAATCTGGCACTGCATCGGCTTTACGACCGGGCACAGACCATGTCCGAGGTCAATCTCAAGGGGCAGTTCTTCAAGGTCACCAAGGAGACAGAGCCCCGACACGATGACGAGGGAGGAATCGAGATGAAGGTCATCCGTCCGGGTGGATCACGCATCTCCGTGGAGCAAGCCATCAATGAGGCCAGCGAGGAGAACAGCATCATGTCCATTGACAATGTGAACAGCATCATTGGTACGTTTATCCCTTGGGTTAATCCTCTGAAGAGTTATGGAAAATGTTTCCTTTCTTTTGTAGATCTCAAGGTCGATGTGCATCGCAAAAATAGTTCCGAGTCCATCGAGCTCATGTTCTACGCCCCCTCCATGCTATCCGGCGGCAGCCAGCAGGATCAGCAATCGCTGGCCGGGTCTGCCAGCGTCAGCAAGTCAATACGCAGCGGTGGAGGAGCTGGAGCGGGAGCGGCGGCGGGAGCCACAAGTGCTGCCGCCCAGGCGGATCTCTTCAACAAGTACCTAACAGTCTACCCGGAAGTGGTGGAGGCAGGCGGCAGCAGTGCTGGCAGTGCCGATGGCGGCAGCAGTGGCGGCGACAGTCGCTCTGGAGCCGCTACAGTCGGTATGCCAGCATCAGGAGGAGTGGCACCCGTTCGCACTGGCCACTTATCGAGAAAGTGCTCCGAGGTATTCAGCCGGCGCCACCGATGGCGTTTAGAGCGCCAGAGCAGTCTGGACACGGCGGCGGCGTCGGCCAACTCAGCCGGAGAGCACAAGCTGATGCGAAATCAGTCGGACACGATAGCCACGATGGCGGCACCCTCGTTCCTGCACTCTCAGCCAGCAAATAAGTCGCGTGGCCAGGCCAATCCACGCCAGCACTCTATAGCCAGCACCCCGGGCACGGGGGGAGGAGATGGTGCACCGTCCTCCTCCTCTGCCGGAGCTGCGGTGGTAGTAATTGCCCCTGCCTCGAATTCCTCTGCCAATCCTGGGCGGTCCTCCCGGCTGCAGCGCCACCGGAGCTCAGAGACGCACGACGAGCGGTTGAAGCACCAAAACCGAGGCCTGGGCAGGCCAGTTCTGCTGCATCCCCAGGAGATTGCGGCCAGCAGTATAGGAGCTCTGGCTGCGATCGGTGGGGGCGGCGGAAGTGGCAGCAGTGGCGGCAACGACGTGGAAGACATGGAGCTGGGTCTGGCCAGGAATACGGGAAGCAGCGGTGTGGCCCTGCAGTCCTGGATATTAGGTTCGTACTGGGCTCCTGTAAGAGCGAAAGACATCATGGTTAACCTTGTTTTGTTGCAGACTCTTCATCGGATGTGTACCTGGAAGACGATAGCTACACCAAATCGGATCTGGGCATCGAGCAGCCGCATCAGCCGGCATCCTTTCGTGGCCAGCATCATCATCATCACCACCACCACCATCACCTGCACCATCATTTGGGCGGAGCCATTATCCGCAAGGACCCCACCAGTACCATGTCTGCGCTTCAGCTGGCGGGTGGCGCTCTGCCAGCGGCGGGTGGATCTGGTGGTGGGGTGGGTGGAGCGGCAGGAGGTGGCTCTGCTGCCGGAATGAAGCGACGCAGACATTCCAATGCCACAAGCTTTCACAAACAAGGTTCCAAATCAGCATTCATCGGCGGCGGAGCGGCGGGAGGAGGCTCGGCTGGAGCAGCGCCAAGTGGAGGTGCTGCCGGTGGAGGCGGCAATGAGTCCGGCGGAGTGAGGCGCATCAAGAGCGCAGCTTTGGAAGTGTTATGCCCGCAGCCCTCGGTCTCCAACCTCAGCCCGCATCCGAACAGCGTGGAGGCCATCTCCGGGCAACAGCAGATGCGGAATCCCCTGCCACCGCCCAGCAAGTGTCTGGTGAGGAACAAGCACCTAAGTCTCTATCCCGCCCAAGGCTATGGGGACGGAAATGCGCCAGCAGCTGGACCAGGAGCTGCAACAGCCACGGCAGCGCTGCCGGCCGCACCGGGAGGAGCACCTGCAGGTGGCAGCACCAACAGCAGCCTGTTCTTTGGCAGTTCCAGTGCCTGTGGCTCCACCACAGCACTCATCGAGCCACCCGTGTATCCTATTGTGGAGCATTCCGACGAGAAGACCGCCCACGAGGAGCTGGAGCCAAGCGGACTGGGCCAGGGCAATGCCGACGACGACGACGAGGTGGACGATGTGCCCATCCGTCGGCGGACACGGGCGCTTGGCTGCAGTCAGACGCACCACAGCGCCGAGTCGGATGTGGGCGGCATCCTGGCCGACGACGACGATGTGTTCAAGGACTTCGACGACAACATGGACTACATATACAACGAACTAAAGCAGACGCACCGGCAACTGGACGAGGATCTGCGGGCCTGCGATCTGCACCAGAACCATCCCCATCACCATTCCCACCACCACTCCCACCACCTGCACAAAATGACGGAGGCACTGCCGGCCGGGACCGCTGCGGGCGGCCTGGAAGACGAGGACGAGGAGACGGAGGACAACAATACGGGCTCCCGGTCACCGCTGCTCAGTGATCGCAACCGCCAGCAGGCGACACTGCGCGAGATTCAGGCGGACCAGCAGCTCCGCCAGGAACTGTCGCACCACCAGCATCAGGAGCAGCAGTCCGGCGCCAATCCTGGATCCATCCAACCGCCACCACCTCCGCCCGCACCCATTCGCAGCGAGGCGGACTCTGGCTGTCCGTCCAGCGACTGCGAACAGGTGAGTGCCAGCTCCAAAGATCAGCTGCTAGCGGGTATGGAACCGGAGCAGCAGCGCTCCCTGGCGCAGCTGGATGAGGAGCAGCCCTGTACCTCCAAAATGGCTGCCAAGAGCCTGGGAGCCATTCCCAAGGTAGTCAAGTACCGGGAAGTGGACGAGCTGAGGCGGCGGCGACGCGGTGGCTCTCCAGCGGACGGTGGAGGCGATGCCTGCGGCAATGAGTTCGCCCTGGTGAAACAGCAGTCCAAGCTAGCCTCCCGCAACTCCTCCTCCTCGAACTCCACGCACAGTGTCAGCCTGACGGACAGCCTCACGGCGGACATCCACAAGATGCTCTGGCTGATGCACGGCGGAGCTGTGGACGAGCGCGGCCGACCCATTGCCGGGATATCGGCGGACGGAACACCCATTCCGGCGAGCAGCAGTCTGGTGCCGCCAAACATGTCCAGTGCCCATTTCCAGTTCTACCAGGACGCCATCCAGGCGCTGCAAGGTGCGCACTTTACGGCCGGAGGCATCAGTGTGGAGCACATGAACAACATCGAGCGAGCGCTGGCCCGCGACAAGCTGCGGCTGGACGCCAAGATTATGTGCGAGCAGCTGGCGGCGGCGGCGGAAGCCAGCTCCGGGAATCGAGGAGGAAGTGCCAATACGCCGCTGCAGACTCAGCAGCAGGTGGGCATGCTGATGGGCGGCTCCCGGGCGGCCTTCTCGGTCCAGGGACTCTTGAACCAAATTCGCAGCGAGCGGCAGGTGGCCCGCAACCTGGACGCAGT